CCGATCTGATAGAGAAAGTCAACCCCCTCACGAATCTACGGATCCTCTCTGTCTCGTCTGGAATAATGGCCAAAGCATGCCTAGACAACTGGCAAAAACGGGCCTCATACTCTGTAACTGATAAGCTGTCCTGTCTCAGATTCTCAAACCTCAAACGACTCTCCTCTCTCACGCTCCAAGGGATAAAACGGTCATGAAAGGCACTGGAAAACCTCTCCCAAGTCACTGGAGGAGATCCAACTGGCAAAGCCCCCGAATAAGTTCTCCACCACTCTCTCGCTGGCCCACGAAGCTGGAGTGTAGCATATCGAACCCCATGTGACTCAGCTAATCCAACAACCTCTAGTAACTCTCGGCATGTAGTCAGAAACTCATGAGCATCCTCACTCTTCCCACCCTGAAACTGAGGTGGGTCCATCTTTCGAAATTTCTCATACCTACGCTGCTCATCCTCTGTCAGAACAACCAATGGTGCACCTTGACCCCCAATTGCTGGTGCAAGATCATTCTCAACCATGGGATCCTTTGGTGGTTGCCCCACCGCATCATGCATAACTGGAGCTTCCTGTTGCTCTTGGGTTTGAGCCCCCACTCTAGTCTGAGAGTCTTGTGGTGTGGCGGCTGCACCACTAACCTGAGTAAAGCTCTCAAGCACACTTAACACCCTCAATAATGTATCTTGAAGCAAAGGTGTGACTGCAGGCTCTGGAGGAACCTGGTCCTCTCTGTCATCAATCTGAGGCTCAGGAGAGGCCTCTCTAGTACGACCTCTAACCGGTGCTGCTCCACGGCCACGACCTCTGCCTAGTGTCGTTCCACGAGCACGACCTCTAGCTCGGGCTCTACCCCTACCCCTAGCTGGGGCCTCAACAACTGCCTCGGGAAGTGCCTCCCTTCTACCACCAGTAACAGTCGCTCTAGTCCTCGTCATCTGTCAAAAGAGTATACAATAGCTCAGTACTAAAGAAGGTAACCACGCACGATGAGAAAGAATGAACAAAAGGGAAGTTTCCTAATAGTCTTTATAGCCTCTCGGAGATAAGTACAGACGTCTCCGTACCGATCTTTGAGACTCTACGTAGACTCGGCTTGTATGCACGTGAAACCTATGAACCTGGGGCTTTGATACCATTTTGTCACGACCCAAAAATGGATGTGATGGCACTCGTCGTATCCCACCAAGACAAGTCAGCCTAAAACCCAATCATTTCTATAAAGTGCGGAAATAAAGCAAAGTTCAATAACAATTACTATTACGAAAACAAGTCAACTTAATTCAATCCCCAAAACCTGGTTGTCACGTGCACAAGCCTCTAATGTAACTACTAGAATTGAAATAAAATACGCAAGTCTCAAATGATGTTGTCTTTCAAGTAAAAACAAAATCATAAACAGGAGTAAGGAGGCTCGCTGAGATGACAAATAGCTACCTCTCAGATCTCCACAGAAAGCCTCGGAAACGAAGAGAATGGAAGGTATCACGAAGATCCGGGCTCGTAACCTACAAAAGATTGTAGAAGCAAGGGGTGAGTACCAAACCACACGGTACTCAACAAGCAAACCTCTAAACACAAGCTAAGGGTACAGAATACGGGTACTCCTTACACCCCATCCTAACCTCCATAACTACAACCTGCATAAAACCAACCCAACCTAACAATTCACAGTTTACAAAGCATACAGCTCAACAACAGCACTCTAACAGATTATATATTCTCAATAACAAATTTCACAGAAAGGCACTCACAAGATCAGCAACACACAAGATCAAGTTCATCAATAATAAAAAGGTGCAATGCAATGAAATGCAATGTCAAGTATAGTGATGCATGTCTGACCTAATGATACACACCCGCTGTCTCTTAGTCCGGGACCCATGGGGGACATATCTGTCCATGCATCCATCGCGGCGCGCGATACGTCCCTCGAAATATAATATCAGTCGCGGCGCGTGACACGTTCCTCGAAATATAGTATCCATCGCGGCGCGCGATACGTCCCTCGAAATGGTACATCCTCCTTAATTTCTTATTCTTTCTTAATGCGCATAACACTTGTCACAACCACGTCTCAGAACAATGCAAATGACATGTTCACACAAATAATAAGGAGATGACCATTTTCATAACATTGCACAAATCACAACTTCAACGATGATGCAACAAGTCTTTCAAACAATTCTCAACACATTACACAAACAATTGATCACATTACTCCCAAACATACACCACAAGGAAATACACGAATTCCATACGCTTAACAAGGGTTTAGAAATCCACTTGCCTCAAATAATCGAACAATCACTCTGGAACTTGAGCCTTCCCTTTTCGTTGAGCTTCCAAATCAATGCAATCTATTCAAGTACATAGTCACAATAAGATTCCGAAACTAACAACACTCATGTCACTATAGGTTTAGCCTAAACCCAAAAGTTTACCCAAATTTATAATTAAGTTCTCAAGTCTTGATGCCCATTAACTTGTCAATTCTTCCAATTCCTTCAATTATCGTAAATCTAATGACATTCACAAAAATACGATATACCTAATGTTTAATGACCTATTTTAATATATCAAAATTAAATATACAATGTGATAATAACATAAGAATTACCAATTTTCGGAACCACTGGTTATGAAACCAGTGGTGGGAATCGACAAAATAAAGACATTAATATGTCACCTGCAGGTTCCTAAATTTATAATATGTAATCTTAACTTTATCCTCACAATTTTCAAAACCCACCAAGTGTACAACAATGACATTATTCTTTCCCCAAGAAATCAATTAGGCCTTAACATATATAGAGTAATAATCTAACTCATTTAGTGAGAATTCAACTTACTACTTGAAACTGGAGATGGCATGTATGAAAAATAATTTTATATATATACTCCTAACAGTTCAACTCCCTTCATCCCCATAAATTGACAACAAACGAAAAGAAATATAATAATAATAACAATAATATTAACACTGTTTCTTATCTACAAACTTATGAAGCAAATCCTCCTTTTCCTACCTAATATTTTATTATTTCCACACATATACATATGTAGAAATTAATGAAGAGCATGCAGAGCACTTGATGCAGTACCTGAGGCAGATCGAACTCACGATGCCGAAACCCTACGCCCTTTTCTTCTTTTCCTTTTTCAGTTATGACTCAAATATTAAACCCCAAATAATTTAATTCATTTTAACCCATGGTCAAGTGGTATAGAGTCTTTAATAAATGACCACTTTAACCCACTAACTATCGATTAATTAACTTAAGTTAAACGAATAGTTCAAAATTTCCAAATCAACTTCACCGACTAATCAAAAATTACTCGAGTCAACTATTGAGAGGGGTAAAAACGGTAATTTTATGTAAATTTCTAAAAATGACAATCCGGGTCATTACAGATTTGAAGGCTTATTCATGGGAAAAGTTGTAGTGAGAAACAAGGCATATAAGCTATCTAATAGGCAAAGGTAAATTCACAAGTCGGAGTTTATGAGTTTTAGAGTCTATTATGTATACATATTTAATGAATTCTTAAATTAATATACATGGCTTTAATCAAAACTATTGAATTTTGTATTTCTCATACTAGCTTCGCCTCTACTAATAGCTACCTAAGTTTATCAATGGATATTAGGCTAATATACTCTAAAGAAGTCATAATAGATACCCTATGTAGAACCCCAATCCGTTTTTAGACTTAGTGAACTCCTATCGCGATGAATTAAACTCTGTTTCACGTCCCACTATTTGTCAATCACATCGCAAAGTCATTACATCAAGATCATCAATCTATACCACTTGTATCAAGGTTATATCGATCATGTTATTATCAAGATTATTAGATGCTAACTTAAACTTTATAGACATTTATACGATAATCTAACTCTAATTGACCTCATAAATCTTGCACGTTATATAAATAAGAAAAAGAGTAAAGCTAAAGCCCCCCCAAATTATTTTTTTTATATTTTTCCGTTATACTTAATTTACTCTTAAAGCAAACATTTTTTTAATTATTTTTTTTCCCTTTAAGAGAACCATGCTTTAACTTCCACGCTATTATTATATCCCCTCGTTGCTTCTACTTCTTGTAAACTATTATAATGCCTTTTAAGCCACACAAGAAAATAAAAATAAAAATAAATGAAAAGGTAAAATTTAGAGGAGTAAAACTATAGCGAATTCAGAACGTAACTTACTAGCTCACGAAACACAATAACTTTTCCCCCTATATATATTAAATATCTATAAACATTTAACTATGAACTCATTATTATATATTAATTTGAAATTACATTAAAACCATGTTTTTTTTTTTAAAACAATAGTTTAACCAATCAAATATTTATATTTATATATATAAATATATATAATGAAGTTCAAATAGCGAAGAAAGGAACTAATATCTCCCTAATCATTAGATGTCTTTATGGAGTGGGAACCATTGCTTGTGGATATGGTTTTGATCTTCCTTTACATTTTTATATGTTAAAATATATATATATATATATATATTGTACACAAATATTATTTTAATTGTTTTTTAAGCTATTTTAATCCAATCGGATTTGTAAATTTATCTCTTGAACTAAGCTATTATCATAGAGTTTTAAAAAATAATCATATCTTATGAACTTGTGTTCTAACCTATACTTTTTTCTTTTTTAATTTAAGCTTAAATAGTTCAAATTATATCTTATTGACTCAATCAAAGACAGATCAAACTCGGTTCGATCAAAGCTCATGCCCACCTTATTAAATTGAGTTGGTTTGGCTCGGCTCAGCTCAACTCAGCTCGATATCTTTATCCAAAACCTCAAAAAAAAATTAGGGTGGCGTGGGGGTAGGGGGGGATAGTGCTTTTGTGTGAGAACACTCAGCAAACTTCACAATTCCTTTGAGGTTGCCACCTACACACACTTTACATGTTCACAACTATATATTATAGACATTTGTCTTGGGAATCTAACAGAACACAAAAGAATTAAAAAAAAAAAAAGTTAAAAAGCAAAACCCCAATTTATTATATTCTCTAAATCCACATCTAATGCTTTAAATCTTCAATTTTTTTCTTTATTTATATATTTTCTAAAAAAGGTAAATTTGGAATTCAATTTATTCTCTATTTATTGATCATCTTGTGTTTACAAGATTTCTTATCACATGGCTTCTTCCTCCAATAATGTTGATGAAGAGGGTATGCATTTTTTAAAATTTTTTCTTTAATTCTAATTATTTTTTTGTTTATAATTTTATTATATTTATTGTTTGTGTGAGTAATTTTATGGTTCTTGGGAATTGAATATGCAGGAATTGAGAAGAAAGAGGAACCAACACCTTTGGAAAAACATGTTATGTTTTTTGATATTAACAAAGATGGTGTCATTTACCCATGGGAAACTTATAAAGGTAATCTAGTCCCTCACCAACCTCTTAAAACAATCTACTAAATTCATCGAGTTATTTTTTTTATAATTAGGTTGAGTAACCCCTAAAGGGGCGGAGCTAGAAGAGCGAAACTACAATAAATGATATTTCTATGTTTTAATTTATGTGACAATGTTTTTATTTTTTAATGTTTTTTATGACAATTTTATATATTTGGAAATATATTAATTTTTAAAAAATATCAGATTATTTTTATTTTATTATTATAGACAAATGTTATAAAATATTTGAGAGAACATGTTTCAAAAAAATATATATTTTCTTTTATTAATTTAGTGCTTATTTAAATTTTGTCACACTTTTTTCATGTGCACTTGTAACCATGCAAATTATTGTGGATTATATTAATACACACATTCCCACCTTATTTTATAATTTAACGATACAATTTTTATCTGCATAGATTATTTATATCAAATTAATTAATAAATATATATCAGGTGTTTTCATATATATTTTTTCCACTTAACTAAAATTATTATCATTTTGAGTTTTTTAATTATCATTTAACCTCTCTTTTTTTTTCTTTTTTTTTTCTTTGTATCAGGTTTTCGAAAAATTGGAAGTGGCGTTCTCCTCTCAACAGTTGCTTCCATTTTCATTAATATTGGGTTAAGTGGCAAAACTCGACCTGTAATTTCCCTCTTTTCTCTCTCTAGTATTATTTTATTTTTAGGAAAATTAATTAATTTATGACTTCAGTTAAAATTTTAGAATTTAATTTAATAATTAATACATGCATTTGTTTAGTAGCAATGTATCATTTTCTAGATACAGACTAAAAAGAAAAGTGCATCATATAGAATGATCAGATGTATGGAGTACAAGATTACACACTACTAAAACATTACTAATTTAATTTTTGGTTGGAATTTTCTACTGAAAAATGTCTAGTGACTATTTTCGTACATATTTTATTGAATTAGTGAGAAAAGAAAAAATAGTATTTCTTTCACGTGAAAATTTTTGAAAGTTACCCAATATTTCAATTAGAATTACACCTCCCCCAAAAAGGTCTTTCATGGACTAGACCTCTATTTTTTACCAACAAATTGGGCCATCAGGATGAGTTTGATGTGCAAGTTTATGCTATAAGACTTTAACTTCTAATCACAAAAAGAAAAGTGCTATAAGATTAATGTGCAAGTATATGCTATAAGATTTTAACTTTTAACCAAAAAAGAGAGGTGCTATAAGATTAATATGCAAGTTTATGCTGTAAGATTTTAACTTTTAGCCAAAAAATGCTATAAGATTAATGTGCATATATGTTTTATGTACAGGGGAAGTGGCCATCTCCATTATTTCCTATTGAGGTGAAGAACATCAAATTTGCCAAACATAGTAGTGATAGTGATATCTATGATACTGAAGGAAGGTAATATACTACTCCCTCTGTCCCAATTTATGTGACTTCCTTTCCTTTTTAGTCAGTACAAAAAAAAATGATACATTTTTATATTTAGTAACAATTTAACTATAAAATGTCTATTTTACCCTTAATGAAATGATTTACATCCACACAAATTTCTATCATTCATTTTGGACCACAAGTTTTAAAAGTCTTCCTTTCTTTCTTAAACTCTGTGCCGAGTCAAACTACATCACATAAAATGGGACGGGGGAGTAATGCTTATACTTTTTATACATTGATAGTGTAAAGAATTTTATGTAATCGCGTTGCGTAACAGATAACTACACGTAATAAGTGGAACAAGTTACGTGAAAAACAAGGTATAAGAGATTTAGTCTCCTTATATGGAGTCTTTATAATTTTTACTTCGAGCTAATTTTTTTAGGTTACGTTAAGTGAAGGTTCGTTTCATCTCATCGTATATCAGAGTCACACGACTTATCTCGATTCTTGATTTATCCCGTGTTTTGATCCTGATCTTTTATTATGTTGTCCACACTCCAGTTACTTGATAGGCTTGGACATGTTGGGGTGTTAGATTCCTGCAATATCGTGATATTAGTATAGTGGATATGTGGATGAGGACGTAATGAGTTTAACGTCTATACACTGATAGTATATATATATATACATGAGTTTTTAGTAGTGATCACTTAAAAGGATACCTGTATGTTACTATTCAATGGTGAGTGAAACTATAAGTTACTTGAAAAATAAGATAGACGACGTGTTATAGTTAAAGCATTGTCGATACAAAAATAACTTGTATCATCGATGTATATAAATTAAATCTTGCTTCTTATTTTGAAGGTTCGTTCCTGAAAAATTCGAGGAGTTATTCAACAAGCATGGACGAACAAACGACAATGCCTTAACCGGTGAGGAATTAGATGAACTACTCAAAGCAAACAAGCAACCCAAGGACTTTGCTGGACAGTAAGACACACTCTCTCTCTCTCTCTCACCATCGTTACAGGTCATAGTCCTGCTATATACGAAATACTTAATAGCTAACATATGTACGTCATTTATCCATCCATGCATGTTGAAGTTTTTGAGACTAAGGGCTTGGATCGAGGTCCTGAAAAGCGTGAAACGTAGACTTAAACAATGAACGCTTCTCTTTAATATATGCAATGTTTACTTCTTTCTTTTTTTATAGAAATAATTTGATGAATTATGCAGCATTGCAGCTAAATCAGAGTGGAAGATACTTTATCTCCTTTGCAAAGATGAAAATGGCATGTTACCTAAAGAGACAATAAGGAGTGTGTATGATGGTAGCCTTTTTGAACAAATGGCCAAGGAAAAGCAATCCAAGAAACATAGGTATACCTAATTACCTATCTTATTTGTTAACGAGAAGAATCTTGCAGCAACGGTAAAATTATTTTCATATGATCACTAGGATGTCTTCATGTAACCTATATGTTACGAATTGGTTTTTAGATACGTAGATTAATCGATCATGCATTGATATTTAAGACAAGATAGGATGTTAAATTACGTTCCCCTTGGGGTTCGTGCAAAAGGTTATATGTTCGAGGGTGGAATTAGCTACTAACACTTGTACTTTTATATTTTGTTGAGAGGAGAGAGAGGTACATTATAGGCTACTAAATTACCCTTTTGAAGTGCGGTCTTTTTCTAACTTTGCATGAACACAACATACTTCGTGCACCTGACTATTTTTTATTTTTTTTGGTTATGCTTTGTATATCGAGCTAATTTTTTTTAAAATATTTGTATTTGACATTATTGATCTTATTACAACTAACTTTTTGTTGCAGGGGTAAATCAAGTTCATAAAAAAGGTGCAGCAGTTTTTTTTTCTACTTGTAACTTTGACTTTGTATATATACAGTTGTGGTATTTGTTTCTTTGTTAAAAAAAAGAAAAGGAAAAGAAGTGTTGAATTTATTCATGTATTAATCTATATTTAGCAATTTCACTTTCCATTAGACTTTTGGTTTTGTATGATTCATGTTTAAATTTTAATTTGTTTCTATTATTCGGTGTTTGACGATAATATAATTCTTAAATTTTGAATTCACACGGTGTAAAGTCCATTAAAATAAGGAATTGTTCTATATAATTTCTTTTTATTTTTAAGGCATGAACTCAAGGCTTCTTATTTAGGATTATAGAATGTGTGCGAGTATTGAAATAAGGTGAATATTAGAAACTTAGTTGATTAGGTAAATTCTTACTTTGTTAGCGAGGGTTCTATCAATTGTATTCCACCTTACCCCAATTTAAACCAAAAAATAGAGTATTGAAATAAATAAATGAAATGTAAGAAATAAACAATTATTTAGTCCTTTATTTAAATAAATAAAATGTAAGAAGTAAGTAAGAGAGAAACTTTTCTACCTAATTTTCATGCTCTAAAGAAGTAAGCAATTTTTTAGTCCGTTGATGAAAATATGTTGTTAGAAATTAGCGACGTACAACTTATGTTGTTAGACAACTTACGTACATACATAAGCTTTCCCAAAATTTGAACGGGAAATATCTAATATGAATATATTATTACATGTTTAATTGAAACTTATCATAATTTGAACGTCTAGATAAAATACCGCACCTTAAGAGGTTGTTGATATATTGTGCAAACAAGGGGACAAAAAGGACAAGTGCTTGGACGAATTAATCTGTATGAGTTGTCAAATAATATTTACATAAATAACCAATTAATAGATCATGGCTTTGCATGTGATGCGTCGAATAAAGATTAGCTATAATAGTTATTTGATTTTCAAATGTTAGGTAATATTGGTATGAAAGCTAAATTACCCTTTAAAGTGCGGTCTTTTTTTAATTATTATGCTTTGTACATCGAGTTGAACTTTTTTTTAAAAAATGTATTTGACATTATTGATCTTATTACTACAAACTTTTTGTTGCAGGGGTAAATCAAGTTCATAAAAAAGATGCAGCAGTTTTTTTTTGCTATTTGTAACTATGACTTTGTATATATACAGTTGTGGTATTTGTTTCTTTGTTATAAAAAAAATAAAAAAAATAAAAAAGGAAAAGAAGTGTTGAAGTAACACTTATTCATGTACTAATCGATATTTAGCAATTTCACTTTTCGTTAAGACTTTTGGTTTTGTATTATTCATATTTTATGTTAAGCTTGTTCTATTATTCTGTGTTTGACGGTAATATAATTCTTAAATATTCGAATTCAAGTTGTGTGAAGTCCATTTATACACAACTTTAGAAATATTCAAGAAATATGCACATAAAAGTTCAGACTACTTAACTTGTATAAATAACACCAACAAGAATTAGGATGAACCGACAAGCACTCCTTCATTCTCTGTCAGAAATTTTGAATTCGAGTTTTCTGAAAGGACAAGTGCATGGACGAATATGTATGAGTTGTCAAATAAACATGGCTTTGCATGTGCGTCGAAAAAAGATTAGCTATAATAGTACTTTGATTTTCAAATGTTAGGTAATATTAGTATGAAAGCTAAAAATTAATTTGCTGGATAAGCCAAGGTTCCATCTATTTTACACTTTAATTGTGAAAGTATCATGTGACACGCATCTAATAACATTTTTCTTGTCAAAATAATCATATGACCCTACATCTTTTCCTTATCCAAATAATAATAAAAATGTGATGTGATACTATAAAATTTTATTGTAATAATAAATGTTATAGCTATATAAATAATTATTATTATCACCATTGTCAATAATTATAAAAAAATAAAAATAAAGAATTAGTTTTATTAGGAAATTTTATGTAGGGTGCACCTAATAATAAATCAAATAATACTAAGATATTAATTTCGACATAACTAATTTATTTTATATTTATCATTTTCTAGAAGATTATGGTAAAATTATTTTCATATGATCACTAGGATAACCTATATGTTATGAGTTGGTTTTTAGATACGGAGATCAATCGATCATGCATTGATATTTAGGACAAGATAGGATGTTAAATTATGTTCCCCTTGGGGTTCATATGTTCGAGGGTGGAATTAGCTACTAACACTTGTACTTTTATATTTTGTTGAGAGGGGAGAAAGGTACATTATAGGCTACTAAATTACCCTTTTGAAGTGCGGTCTTTTTTTAACTTTGCATGAACACAACATACTTCGTGCACCTGACTATTTTTTATTTTTTTTGGTTATACTTTGTATATAGAGCTAATTTTTTTAAATATTTGTATTTGACATTATTGATCTTATTACTACTAACTTTTTGTTGCAGGGGTAAATCAAGTTCATAAAAAAGGTGCAGCAGTTTTTTTTTTACTTGTAACTTTGACTTTGTATATATACAGTTGTGGTATTTGTTTCTTTGTTAAAAAAATTAAAAAAAAAAGGGAAAAGAAGTGTTGAATTTATTCATGTATTAATCGATATTTAGCAATTTCTGTCACGCTCCGAGACTATACCTTGGACGTGGCTGGCACTTGAAGACCATTGCTGGCCCCCAAGCGAACCCTTGGCCTGACTTTCTTAACTCAGTGGAAAACTCAATGCAATGCAAGGTTTTAAAACAACCTGACTGACATAAAATCTGGCCAAAAAGGCAACTCAAGTCTCAAAATAGAATATTTACATATATACATAGATAAGAGACTCCAAACCAACTGACTGACTGTCTATGAAGCCTCTAAAATACTGAGATAGATGTTGGGACAGACCCCACGACATCCTAATAGAAAAAAACTTGAGAGAACAAAATAACCAAGTCATCCGGAATGCAAAGAGGCTCACCACTGACTCTGAAGTCTCAACTGGATCAACGGCGAACCGGATGTTGGCTCTGGGTACCTGTGTCTGCATCATAATAAGATGCAGGCCAACTGGCATCAGTACATTGAATGTACGAGTATGCGAGCTAGAAAGCTAAACCACCACTCAAGCTTGAAAGGAGTACAAATGAACTCTTACCTTGGCTCTGTTTAACTCTTGAATAACTGAACTCAATATATAAAGCAATACGACACATGCAATATATAAAGCTTGTAAAACAGTGTAAACAACTTAGCTTGTTAAAGATAAAACAATAACAGCTCAATTTTACTTATATAAAAGTAATATAACTTTAGTGGGAGATTTTTTAACCGACAACCACCACCATGAGCCCTAGTGGTGGTACAACGTTTTACCTCACGTTGCCCAAAGACCATCCTATACCTTGCCGTGATATAGGAAGCTACTTTACTTAGTGGATCCACTAGCTTAATCTTACGGATTCATCTAAAAAGTATGACCCGTTAACTCCCATGTTAGCGCATGGTTCTTATGGAGAGTTGAGTTTATATGAACTCGTGTCCCCAATTCGGTGTTCAAGACTACTCCCAAAAATACTTTAGCTCATAAGTGTTTTAAATACATCTTTCTTTATTTGAGATAATTACTCAAAACTTTGCCCGAAGGCTCACTTGGAATTGATGTTCCTTTTTCTTAAAAACTAGCCCAAAGGCTCTTTTGGAATCATAGTTCCTTTCTTACTCAAATGTAAAAACAACATTTGGAAACTTCTTTGGGAATACATAGTTCCCTAATAACTTTTGAGAAATGAACTCAACTTTAAACTCTTTACTCAACTTGAAACTCTTAACTTAACTTGAAACTTGACTTAACTTGAAACTCTTGAGCCTTAAAATGAAGTTAAAACATTCAACAAAGACTCTTGGAAATCTTTAAACACTTGTTTTGACTCCCTTCTTTAACTTCTAGACTCAACTCTTAACTTCCCTTGACTTGGAAACTTACTCTCCTTCAATTGGAATCATGGATTCAAGGTGTTTGATCACGTGTTATGGATGAGTTTTTGACGTTTAAACGTACCTTGGGGTGTTGGAAACTATCACGCCCCGAGCCTACACCCTGGGCGGGACCGGCACCCGGAGATCATTTCTGGCCCCAAGCGAACCCTTGGCCTAGCTTTCTTAACTCAGCGGAAACCTCAACAGAATAACTCGATGCAATGAATTTTTTACAAAACAACTTAACTTATAAAATATGGCCATAAAGGCAACTCGAATCTCAAAATATAATATTTACATATATATATAGATGAGAGACTCAAAACTAACTGACTGACTGTCTGTCTATGAAGCCTCTAAAATACTGAGATGGATGTTGGGACAGACCCCGCAACATCCTAATAAAACAAAAACTAATACAAAATAATTGAGTCCTCCGGAATGCAAGGAGGCTACCACTGACTCTGGAGTGCTCAGCTGGATCAACGACATTCAGGATGCTGATTCGGGGTACCTGAATCTGCATCATCAAACGATGTAGGCCAACTGGCATCAGTACATGGAATGTACGAGTATGCAAGCTGGAAAACTAAGCAACAAAGGCTAGAGGGAAAATCTGGAAGAAACTGAATAGTTTACCTAGCTCAACTCAACTCAACCTGACTGACTGCTTTCAATATAAGGCAATTTAAAACAAGTGCGATATAAAGAAAGACTGTTTAAAACATGCTATAAAATCTGTGTGTATACAAAGATACAATAAGCCTGAAAAGTATATAGAAATACAATAAACTGATGTATATAAAAATACAATAATCTCTGCATATGAAAATACAATAACTGCTGTGGGAGTTTCTCTAACCGACAACCATCACATAAGAGCTATAGTGATGATACAGCGATCGAACTCACGCTGCCAGAGCATCTTATACCCGGCCAAAGGTATAAGACCTGAACTGCCTAATGGATCCACTAGTCTAATATGAAAAGGATTCATCTAAAAAGTATGATCATTTTCTACCCATGGTGGCTAACATGGTTCTATAGGGGCTGTGGGTTCTTTGAACGCTCCCCCAAATCGGTGCTCGATACTACTCCCAAAAATGTACTGGCTCTTATGTTTTTTTTTTTAAAACATATTTATTCCTGCTGATATGAGATAATTACTCAAAACTAGCCCGAAGGCCCCCTTTGGAA